TGGGAACGAAGTTTTGGGAGATGACTTTGGTACGCTCATGAAAGTTGGCAAGGTCCACTGGACTAGGTAGTGGAGAGCACTGGAGGCATAAAGAGTCTGCGAAGATTACAGCTTTTTCTTCGTCTGAAGAGTAAGTGGAGCCGTTCTGTTTTAGTGGCGAAAGATGGGGAGCTCTGTTACGAAGGGAACGGATCACTTTCCAGGTGCTTCGGGGATGAGTTTCTGTCTGAGCGATATAGTCATTGAAGAATGCGCTGCGGAATTCGGTGAGACGAGTTCTCGTTGGAGGGCGTTTACTACTGTAGGCTGTGCTGGGTCGCGGTGTCTATTCCACAGGCGTCGGGCTTTGTTTTTTCTCTTAAGGAGGTCAAGAATGTCTGCGGGGAGAGCATTGACTGGGGTGGTGGCTGGGCGGGAGGTCGTGGAGCGCTGGACGGCGCTGGTAATCTCGTTTGAAAAGAGATTTACCGGTTCATCGAGTTCCTCAATTGTGCGAATTTGAGAGCACTTAAAAGAAGATTACTCAAGGGTGTAGCGCAGATGTAGCCAGTCTAGCGAGGATGTTAGCTTTGGGAGGTTGTAAGTTGGGCGGCCGATTTCTATTTGAACAGGAAGATGATCTGAGCTTAGATCATTAAGAACTGTAGGGTCGGAGGAAAGGTTAACGTTCCTTGTGAGGAAAACGTCTAGAATATCTGGAAGCGTGTTGTGACGATCCGGGAAGTGTGTTGGATCTGGTGGGGATTCGATTGTGAAATCGAAGTCAAGAGAGTCGGCAAGAAGGGAAATGCCTTTTCTATTACTGTATCGGCAGCCCCATGAGACGTGCTTGGCATTGAGATCGCCTGCGACGATAGTCGAGACGTTTGGTGGGAGTAGAAGTGGGAGGTTTGAAAGATCCTCTTCGTCTGGTGGGGAGTATAGTGAGATGATTCTGACAGGGCCGGAAGTTGAAGTGATTTCAATGCCAACTGCTTCTAGAGAATCGGTAGCCAAAGAGATGGGCTTGTGTTTGATAGAATTCCTAACGAGGATGGCTACGCCGCCGCCGCCGGAGTTTTCACGATCCTTTCTGTAGGCTGTGAAGTTTGGGACAAAAAGCTTGAGTTTATGGGATAAAAAAGTTTCGGTGATGCATGCAACACCGATCGACTTTTCCTCGAGGAAGTGCTCGAGTTCAGTCACTTTACCTCTAATGCCATGGGCATTCCAGGTAACTAATCGAAGGTTATTTGTGTCGGTTGTGTTAGACATTGGTGGGTGGTTGGAGGACGGCGACTAAACTGGCTACCATTGTCTGAACGATGGCCTGAATTTTGTCCTGAAGGGACGGAGTTGCACCTGATGTTGCAGCGGTGCTTGGGGTCGGGTTGGGCNAGTGAGGAGAACTAGAGGACCTTTCAATGTGTTATGTTCCGACCGACTATCCAGTCTTCAATTTTTCATACACCAGGGTCAACTTTTAGAAAGTTACCCCCGGTGGGTAGTTGTCGAAAAGATATTTTTTATTGAGGACCATAAATAAATCGCCTGTACGTTCAAAGGCCAGTTACGGCTATTGTACAGACGTTTTATTTATGTCCTCTGAAAAATAATAGTTTGTGTCCTCTACATCACCCCCTTACCAGTGAAAACGAATACATGAATATATTGTTTACATTTTTTACTTATTATAATGGCATACTTACTAATGATAACAAATGAAATAAAGTCTTGTGTACAAAAAAATTGAAAATATGTTAATATTAGGAAATACTTGCTATCTACTTTATACAATTATGCTAATTATTCCTAGAACTACATGTGCTTACATAATATACAGAAAGTTATTATTTAATTAAACCCTGCTTGAAACCTTTCAGGAAACAATACTTTTCTACCTGATCGGGTCTTCGCGGGTCTTAGACTAACATCTATGTCATTATTTTTATTGGAATCGTTAAAACTAATATCTATTTCTTTGTCATTACTTACTTGGTTATTTGCAAAATTTGATAACATAAAGGCAGGTTTGATTCTGTTTATATTAACTTTCACGTTTTTATTATTAATTTTAATTACAAAATTTTTATCCTTTCGCTCAATAACTTCGTACGGACCGTCGTATGGTTGTTGTAAAGAGCCTTTCATTGTCTCATTGCGAAGGAATACGTACGGAGATGAATTAAGGTTTTTAAAAACAAACACTTTATTCATCCCATGACGAGTTTTAGGAGTAAATGTTATATTTTTCATGTGGTCTCGTAAGTTGTTTACGAATTCTGAATTTCCATCTTTTTGATTAGATGCACCGAAAAATTCCCCAGGCAAACGTAAACTTGACCCGTACAGCATTTCTGCTGCGGTCACTTTTAAGTCTTCTTTTACAGCTGTACGTATACCTAACAGAACTAAGGGCAATTTTTCGGTCCATTTATCATCTTCGCAACATTTTAATGCAGCTTTCAATTGCCGATGCAATCGCTCCACCATACCGTTTGCTTCAGGATGATACGCGGTAGTTCTTAAATGCGTAATACCTAATACCTGTGCTAATTCTTTGAACAGCGTGGATTCAAATTGGCGGCCACGATCAGTTGTTAACCGTAGGGGTACGCCGTATCGTGAAATCCACATATTAATAAAAGTTTTCGCGACCGTTTCGGCATCGATATCAGTGATCGGCGTCGCTTCTGGTCATCGCGAAAATCGATCGATGCACGTTAGGATGTATCGATATTCCTGTGACATGGGTAAAGGTCCTACCAGATCTATGTGAACGTGCTCAAATCTCGCATAAGTTGATGAAAAATCCTGCACGGGAGCGTTGACATGTCGCGAAATTTTAGATTTTTGGCACGGAATACAACACCGTGCCCATTCCCTTGTATATTTATTAATTGATGGCCACACAAAACTAGATGTAATTAGCTTTTGAGTTGCACGAATACCTGGGTGAGAAAGTTCGTGTAACGAATTAAAAATTATTTTTCTCAGCGTCTTGGGCACGTATGGTCTGACTGTATTGCTGGATGTATCACAATATAAATGAACTTTGAATTCAGGGAGGTAAAGCTTTTTTAGCTTTAAATCTGTCGAATTATCTTTTAAAATAGCAGCTAATTCCGAATCTCCATTTTGTTCGCTTTGCATCGTCTCATGATCCGGTACTCGCGTTATGGATTCGATGCGTGATAATGCGTCCGCGACATGATTATCCGACCCTTTAATATGACGGATATCGGTGGTGAATTGACTGATATAGTCAAGATGACGAAATTGTCGCGGTGAACACTTTTCGAGCTTTTGTTGGAATGCGAAAGTGATCGGCTTATGATCGGTTAAAATGAAAAAATGTCTACCTTCGGTAAAATGTTTGAATCTCTTAACGGCTAAGTATATTGCCAGTAATTCACGATCATAAGCACTATATTTTTGTTGAGCACTGGAAAATGACCTCGTGTAAAAAGCTAACGGTTGCCAATGACCCTTAATTGATTGCTGCAAAACTGCGCCTGCCGCATGATCAGATGCGTCTACCATTATGTTGATAGGCACACCTGGTGCAGGATGCGCAAGCATTGCAGCGTTTGCTAGACTGACTTTAATATTTGAAAATGATTTTTCACTTTCATCATTCCAACTAATCTCCTCCTTACCTTTTTTCGATCCCTTTAACAGATCGTGGAGCGGTTGCATCAACATTGCGGCTTTAGGTATGAAACGTCTATAGAAGTTTACCATACCTAGAAACCTACGAAGCTGTTTTATGTTTGCCGGTTTTTGAAATTGGTTTATTGCATCAACCCGTTCGGATAATGGTTTGATACCTTCGCAATTGACAGTGTATCCTAAAAACTCTATTTCAGCAACGCCAAAGACACATTTCGTTGGATTGATAACTACTCCGTGTTCGTTTAGACGGTTAAAAAGTATTTTTAAATGATTATAGTGTTCTTCTTCGTTATCTGAAGCAATAAAGATGTCATCAATAAAAACGTAAACAAAACTTAAGTCGCGAGTTATGTTGTCTATGAACCTTTGGCAAGTTTGTGAAGCGTTTCTTAAACCAAAGGGAGTAAATAAAAATTCAAATAGACCGAATGGAATAGTTATCGCGGTTTTTTCTATGTCTTTGGACGCTACTGGAATCTGATTATACGCCTGGACTAAGTCTATTTTTGAAAAGATCTTTTTACCGTATAATTCATGAGTAAAATCCTCAATGTGAGGTGGCGTATACCTGTCGGGGACGGTCCGGGCGTTAAGGGCACGGTAGTCTCCGCAAGGTCTTAATTTTCCATCCTTCTTGGGTACGATATGGAGAGGCGAAGCCCACGCGCTTTTTGAAGGACGAATAACTCCCTGTCGTAAAAGCAGGTCGAATTCTGCCCTTGCTGCCATCAGCCGGTCGGGTGCGAGCCTTCGGGGTTTGCTGTATACCGGGGGTCCTGGCGTTGTTTCAATGTGATGTTCTGTTCCATGTTTTACCAGGTCTCGACGAAATACTGCAGGTCTGGTTAATTCAGGGTACTCGGCATGCAAATGGTGGTATCTCGTTTTACCAATAATTGTTTTTATTGATACCACAACCTTGTTTGCACTTCTTATGTGGCAATGCGAGTTCCGTTTGCGGCGAAAAGCTCGTATTGACACTTTATTGCACGACCACCTATTTTAGATCGCGGGTACACACACACATCTGCGCCGGTATCGATTAAAAACTGCATTTTGGTGTCTTTATCGGTAACGAAAATGCGGCCGTTTTTGGGACCGTCGACCGCCGCGCACACAGACGGCCCATCTAGTTTTCCGCCCTTTTGAAATTACACGGTGGTACGCATTTCTCAGGTCGGCAATTGGCACCAAATTTATAATGGTACCAACAAGTCGCGAATTGACGACGGCTGTTGCTGCGACCCCGGTTATTCCTCTGGGATCTGGAGCGGGATCTACTGCGATTCGGCGTGCTATTTTTCGTTATAGCACTTATAACCTCTAGCTGCATCGCTTCCATCCTTTCAATTATCTTCGTAAATTGGTCGCATATTGAGGGAGATTGCAGCGACTACTCGGTTATGCGTTGGCGACACGTCATGAATCCGGTCAGCGATTTCAGCTAGTTTTTCGCCATCCGTTTGATCCAGGGCAGCTATCACTTCCTGGGTTCGAATGGGCAGTCTGCTCTTCCATAGTTCAATCAGTAGATCGTCTTGCAGTTTATTATTGGCAAGCTTTTTCATATGCCGCCAAAACTGACCCGGTGTTCTATCGCCAATTTCTTCCCTTTCGAGAAGCTGTCGTGCTTTGGCTGTATCCGAGTCGGATAATCGTTTAATAAGCACCGCCTTGATGGTCTCATACTTATTTTCTGCTGGTGGATGCATAAGAATGTCCTCGATTTCGTCCAAGTATTGAGGGCTTAACTGGCTGACGATGTGAATGTACTTTGTGTCATTCTTGGTTATCCAATTTAACGAAAATACAACCTCCACTTGAGTGAACCATAAGGCTATCCTTTTGGGCCAAAAATCGGGTAACTTTACCACTGCTGACGCGTGATTGTTTGACGCAGACATGGCACTGTTTTCACCGTTGATACTCATTGTTCCGCACTTTTCACGATTTTTGTTCTATTTTTTTTTAATACACTACGTTTTCCGAACAAAGTTAATCACGTCGGGGTCAGTAATTTGGGAAACTCGGTAGTCGTGAATAAAACTGACGTGTAATCGTATTAATTATTTTAATTTTCTTTTTTATTTGATTTTGAGGAGTGAGGAGAACTAGAGGACCTTTCAATGTGTTATGTTCCGACCGACTATCCAGTCTTCAATTTTTCATACACCAGGGTCAACTTTTAGAAAGTTATCCCCGGTGGGTAGTTGTCGAAAAGATATGGTTGAGAACTCGACGTTTGATTAGTCGAGGAGAGAGGTAAGGCGGCGGAAGACCTCCACAGAGTTGGGAGAAACTCTGATGGAGTCGCTGGTGTTGACTGCCGGTCGGGCGGAGATATCGTGGCTTTCCTTGCCACGGAGAATTTTGGGCCAAATGGACTTTAGGCGGATGGATATTGGGGGAGGAGCTGTGGTGCCTTGGCCGGCAGTGTCAGGCTCGGACTCTGCGTCCGTGGACGACGACGAAGACGAAGACTTTATGTTTGACTGCTATTTGATTGAGTAAAGCCGTCGGCAGAGGTTTTTTTTTTTTTTTGTTTAGATTATGCTCGAGGAGGGGAAATCTTCAAAAGACACCCCCTGAAGGGGGGTAGTGTCGGATTTTTACCGACTAAAACCCCTCCTCGAGCGGGGAGATAAACCCTGTGGGCTCTTCATCCCCGGGAGACAAGTGGAAAGCTGGGGATTAGGGATAGGGTTGAGATGGGAAATCGGCTAAAAGTGTTGGTGGACGGGAGTATTGGGGAGTAATCGGGAGTAGGTGGTCCACCTCTGATGTGGTGGGTGGACACTCGCGCTAAAAAGCGAAACTAGGAATTAAATTGAGCGGGAGAGGGCGGCTCATTGTAGAAGGTGACAGGGCCTTCTGAAGCGGTCGTTGGGTTTCGGTGCGAAGTTGGAGAGTGCCGAGATGGTGGGGTTTGGGTGGCCTGACACTGAGGCCCGAAGATTTGCCGCGAATGTGATTGCAGCCTCGGGGAGAGAAGGTAGTCCGGTTTCAATCAGAATTTGGGTGTTTCTGACGAACCACGGGTAGTTAAGTGCGGAGCGAAGAATCCGCATGTATGTACCTTGTAAAGGTTTTAGGCGATGGGGAAGGGCGCAGCCCCAGACGGGAATGGCATAGGAGCAAATGCTCCTGATAATTGCGTTAAACGCACGGATTTTGGTCTGTTGGGAGATGGTGTTGTTTCGAAAGAAAGGTTTAAGTGCGATGAATGCACCCAGAGCCTTGTTGCGTGTCGCTTTAATGTGGGGCCGCCAGTTTAGGCATCTGTCTAAAACGACGCCAAGGTACGTGACAGAGGTGCTCCATTTGATTGGGCGGTTGTTGACAATAATGGAGGGAGGTTTTCGGAGCCTACGGGAAAAGAAAATTGCTTCCGATTTGGTCTCGTTAATGGAAAGTTTCCATTTCCGATACCAGTTTAGGAGCTGGGGGAGAAACCTATTGATTCTTGCTGTGCATTGGAGAATGGTACTTGAAGAGTTTATGATAGCAATGTCATCAGCGTACAGGGCAGTCAGAATTGAAGTGTGGGAGGGGATGTCCGCGCAAAACAGGTTAAACAGAATAGGGGATAGTTTGGAGCCTTGTGGGACACCGGCTGTGACGGGTTTACTGGCAGAAAGAGCAGAGCCAACGCGGACCCGAAGGCTTCTGTCTGTGAGGAAGGACCTGATAACCCCAACTAGAAAGTGTGGGATGTTAAGGGCGATGAGTTTGGAAATAAGACCTTCGTGCCAGACTCGGTCGAAGGCTTGTTGGACGTCAAGAAGGAGCATGGAAGTGTGACGCCGCTTGTTGAGGTTGTCGGAGATGTGTTCAGTAACACGAAGAAGTTGGTGTCCGGTGCCGTGTTGCCTGCGGAAACCGTGTTGAAAATCAGGGAGAAGGTTGTTTTGCTCCACGTGGTCTAAGAGCCGAGCGAGAAGGACGGATTCTACTACTTTGCTCAGCGAACTGAGCAGGCTGATGGGCCTGTAGCTTGAGGGAGAGCTGAGCGGCTTCCCTTTTTTGGGGAGACAGATGACAGTGGCTTCTTTCCAGACCAAAGGAAAGTGGTGGAGCCGCATGATGGCGTTTGTGATGTTGCACAGTGCGGTTATGTGCTTTGGTGGCAGGACTTTAAGGACTCCGTTAGCAATTCCGTCAGCGCCAGGGGCTTTTCTCTTTTTTAGAGAGCGGATAATGAGAAAGATTTCTCGTGGGGACGTGTGTTTGAAGTCGGAATTTAGGGGAACGAAGTTCTGGGAGACGGCTTTGGTACGCTCGTGAAAGTCGGCAAGATCCACTGGGCTTGGTAGTGGGGAGCACTGGAGACACAAAGAGTCTGCGAAGATTGCAGCTTTTTCTTCGTCTGAGGAATAGGTGGAGCCGTTCTGTTTAAGGGGCGGAAGATGGGGAGCTCTGTTACGAAGGGAACGGATCACTTTCCAGGTGCTTCGTGGATGTTTTTCTGCCTGAGCGATATAGTCGTCGAAGGATGCGCTGCGGAATTCGGTTAGACGAGTTTTTAGTTCTCGTTGAAGGGCGTTTACCTCTGCACGTTGGGCGGGGACGCGGTATTTATTCCACAGACGTCGGGCCTTGTTTTTCCTCTTAAGGAGGTCAAGGATGTCTGCTGGGAGGGTTCTGTCTTTGGTGGGCGTTGGGCGGGAGGTAGTGGAGAGCTCGACTGCGCTGGTAATCTCGTTTGACAGGAGATTCACAGCTTCGTCAAGTTCCGCTATTGTGCGAATTGGAGTGCACTTGAATGAAGATTTTTCCAGGGTGTAACGAAGGTGCAACCAGTCTAGTGACGTGGTTGGGTTTGGGGGGTTGAGGATTGGGCGGCCGACTTCAATAAGGGCTGGGAGATGGTCCGAGCTTAATGCGTCTAAGACGATAGGATCGGCGGAAAGTGTGACATTTTTCGTGACGAAAATGTCAAGAATGTCAGGGGATTGATGGTGGGGGGTAGGGAGGAATGTGGGGTCAGATGGTGCTTCAACTGTGAGGTTGAACTGAAGAATTTTGGCTAGAAGGGAGTTGCCTTTATTGTTTGTTTGTCGACAGCCCCAAGAGATGTGTTTAGCGTTGAAGTCGCCGGCAACGATGGTCGGAACGCCTTGGGGGAGTAGAAGGGGGAGTTCAGAAAGGTCTCTGTCCGAAGGGGGGGAGTAGAGAGAAATAATCCTGAGAGGACCGGAGGTTAGTGAAACTTCGATGCCTACTGTTTCTAAAGAGTTTGTGGCCAAAGGGATAGGCCTGTGTTTTACTGAGTTCCTAACTAGTATGGCGACACCGCCGGCACTGCGGTTTTCACGGTCACTTCTGTAGGAAGAGAAGTTCGGGACGAAAAGTTTGATTTTTTCGGACAGGTGAGTTTCAGTGATGCAAGCAACACCGATTGACTTATCCTCGAGGAAGTGTTCGAGTTCAGTCAATTTACCTCTAATGCTTTGAGCATTCCAGGTAACTATCCGAAGGTTGTCTGACTGGGCGGTGTTAGACATTGGTGGTTTGTTGTAGGGCGGCGACAATGCTGGCGACCATGGTTTGAACAATGACTTGAAGTCTTTGTTCCAAACTTGGGATTGCAACTACGGCTGGTGGAGTGCTCGTGTTGCGTTTTTGGGCGGGGGGTGGGGGGGCGGTTCTTAATGCCTTGGCGTAGGACATTTGGGATGGTGCTGCCAAAGTGGTAGCCGAAGGATGGGCGGTAGTTTTCGTGCCTTGGGAAGCAACGGGAGTGACGGTTTTCCTGGGGGGTGAAGGGGAGGTCTTTTTGGGAACCTTGGGGCAGCCGCGGTAGGTGGCGCGGTGGTTCCCTTTACAATTGGCACAAGTCGGATTTGCATCCTTCTTGTCCTTGGATTTGCATTCGGCCGTGATGTGGTTACGGCCGCAGAATGCGCAGACCCAGGCTGCGTGACAGTAGTTAGCTGTATGGAAAAACTTCATACAGCGGCGGCATTGGGGAACTTCCTTAGTTGCTTTTTTCGGCTCAACTTTGATGTTGAGGCCGCAGAGTTTACCAAGGTCGAAAATTGCCTTGGAGTTTGGGGCGGTCTTATCTAGGCGGACGGAAACAAGGGGCCAGATTTTATCACCTTTGGACATACGATGAATGCCCTTGATAATAAAGCCTTTGTGACTTAATTCGGACTCGATGTCCTCGGTTGGGATGTCTTCGCAGACACCGCGGATAACTACATGTAGGTCACGGTCCTGCTGTAGCTGGTTGGTAGAAAATTGGACTTTGGAATCGTCCAGGAAAGAGGATAGACGACGAAAATCGTCAATAGAGTTCGGGTAGACTCGAATTGAGTCTTTAGTGTTTACGGACCTACGGGCGGTGATGCCGTGGTTGTCCATGGCACGAAGAATTTTCGGCCAAAGGGACTTCTGTCGTATGACGATTGGTGGCGGAGACTTTTGGCTTGGACTTGGTTCCAAGTCCGATTCGTTGTCCGAGGAAGAGGAAGATGACTCGGACGAAGATAGAAAAGGCTGTTGTCGGCGGCGCTTGTTAGCGCGTTTGCCGGCTTTTACGAAACCGTCGTTCTCTCGGCGGTCCGTGTACGGTAGACGGGTAGCGGCACTGTCGGAAATGACCTTGGGTACGGTTGGGGCTGGCGTTGGGTCGGCTTTGTTGGGGTTAGCGTTGATTGTTACGGATGAAGACTCCATGTCTTCGGTCTCGGGCGTAGGGGCTGCTGCAGTTGAGTATAAACGAATAAATTGGTTTACCTGGGCGAGTTTGGCCTGAAGGTCACTGGCCAGGGCAAGGGCGTCCGCAAGGGAAAATCCCTCCCAAGAGTGCGGAGCTCTTGGGGGTAGCCATGTTGAAAATGGCTAGCTAATTTGATGGTATGTGACTTCGCACAATCAGGAAAATAAAAAATAGAGGAAAATATGTTGCTTAAAAAAGGTTTGTTGT